AGAAATTCAAAAAACTAAAAATTATTCAAATAAATTCAAAAAAATTTTTTTGAGCTTTTCTGATTTTTTTGCTTATAGAAGACAATAAAATCAATAATTAAAAAAAAATGTAAATCAATTGATTTTTCGCGGAGTTACAGCTATTTGTTTATAAGCGCTTGAGCGGAACTGCGTTTTTTTTTTTTTTAAAAAATTAATATTTCGTAAACTATTGGTCGTAGAGATATCGAGTTTGGCTCATTTTGTTTGTAATTTAATTCTCTAAATTTCATTCACTGCAAGTCTCGACTTCTTTTGCGTAGTTTCTGAGATATTTGCATTTATATAAAAAATAAAACAATCTATTTAATTTAATTTTTCCCTCTACGACGTTTATGCATCGGGCATGCGCAGAACGATTGCTTACAGCTGTCATCTAAAAGTTACTAAATGCAAAATGTAAACATGAAATTTATTTATTAAGCTACATCCATCTGTTTTGGGATAATAATTGTAAGTTATTTTTTATATATTTTTAATTTTTGTAGAATTCGAGCTACATTAATTTTTTTTTTATCAATCGCTTCATTATTTTTTAATAATATTATAAAAATAAATACGGCATTGACAGTTCAAGGTCACCACAACTGCTTATCGTTGATATAAATAATTCTGTCAATGTTATGTATTTTTTTTTTTTCAAAATATAAAGCAATTTTTTTAATTATTTTTAGTATTAATTTTTTTAACATTTAATAATTATTTATATTTTTTATTTAATTTATAAAATTTTCACGTGCTAGTGACTTTTTTAGTACCCGGCCTGGCCACCAGGCAGCGCCACTTTATTTTTAAAAAAGTAGGGGGTACCCTCCTAGAATGGCCTTAATATTGAACTTAATTTAATAATTACAATGACTAGCGATTGTGACCGAACGCGAAATGGCGGTGACCTTCAGCCGACGTGTTGCCTGGCTGACGCCGCCGACCCGAGAAATAAAATCAGACCTGATAATTGTACCTGGAGTTTTACGCTTTATTAATTCCCTACTCGTGTACTCCCTCGACGAGCTACAACTCCTTTTTCCAGGCTGGTGTAAGTTTTTCCTTGGAATAAATCCTCGGCAATTATCTCCTCGGGTTACTGCTTGGCAGCGAAAATCCGGTCACCGTCACTCGTGCTCTGGATATTTCTCTTGAACCTGTAACCGCAAATCGGCATTAGAATATTTTACAAATTAAAATTAATTTACGCAAGCTGACAGGCGGCCTAGCAAGCAATAAATCAATTAATTTTTCATCGCTTCGTTCCACTTTAAGGTGAGCGAAATAAAATAATTACCTGTGTTCAGTTCTTACTAAAGTTGCGATGCGTTCAACGAGATTCCTCGGTCACAATGAGTCTTCTCGGTCTTGTCGTTGTATTTCTTTCTTCACCCTGCCTTCCCCACTCTCTCTCTCTAGGCGCTAGCGCTTCCCCCTCGGGGACTTACTCACTAACTTACAGCTAGAGGCGCGAGTACTTAAGAACACAGCGCTCTGGGGAATCAGTCGATAACTAACTCACGGATCGGGAACCTTCTCTGGGTAAAGAAGGCCCCGTGTACTCCGTTACAGATAGATGCTCAACTGGATATTTAACTCCAGAAATGTTCACGTTCTGTGATAAAATGGGAGTGTTACAGGATGAATTCAATCTACCCATCATCTACCACGTAAAACGTAATTGCACCTGCAAAATAATAAATATTAACAATGATCAAGAAACAATCTTTGATTTCTCCAAAGCACTACCAAAGGTCGACATTATCGAAAAACACAGATTGAACGAAGATTACTGGTGGCTGAAAAATGACGCCAAACATATCGATGAAATCCGAAAAAGAACGATTTGGAAACAATAACTCCGCCAACTGAATATATCCAACATCACCTTTAAAAGGCATCAATTATCCAACGCTTATCATCAGATAATTCTTGTAAATATGTATATAATATAATATCCTTAATGTAAATATCTCCCATTTACCTTCCCAATTCCCATCTCCCTTCCCTTAAAAGAGTTCAGATGTATTTTTTTAAAAACACTATTTTTTTACATCTAAATTAATATTTTATACTAACGTAATATTGTTAACTACCAAATATCGTCAATTTAATATGTTATTCATTTATTTTTTAAATGCTGAGATCTACCTTGAGTAGCATAGCATTATTTAATTGTAGTATTTATCGAGTTTTTTTTAAGTAATTTTTAAGCTTGTTTGACTATGTATCTTGTTTGTGATTAATAAAAATTATCTTTTTCAACCAAAAAAAACCGTACGACCGATATGTTGATATACATCTCATGATTCTCATAAACTAAATCTATAAGGTGACGAAGTGTGACGGTTTATTATTTATATAATTTATGATATTTAATATTGTGTTTTGATGAAAATTAACTATTTTTTACAAATGTTTATTAGGTAAGAAAATGCAAGAGTCAAGTTCTTATATTACTTTAGACTTTGTAAATCGTTCTGTACATTTTTAATATTTCATTATAAATTTTAAGTTTAAAACTATCATTATTAAAAATTCAATTGTAAATTATTATATTTTTTACAACACCTGCTCTGAAAGTTGACTTTTCGAGCGCTATATCTCATCTCCGAAGTACACAATAGTCGCATACTTGACTATATGTGTTTCATAAACGCACATGTTCGGTTAAGACTACATAACCACACGGATTCTGCCTAAACTATTGGGATCCTTAGGATAGGCGTGGCTTAGGTATTAGACCTCTGGTATTCAAAAATGAACTACTCAAAGTAGGCTACACATGCACACATGTATACAAAATTAGCCTACCTTGAATAGTTACACTTTGAACTGCTAGTTAGCGTATTAAAGTTCTAAGTTTCCCAATGGGGTTCCGTTTTGCCAAACTCAGCCACTTGAGAGCAGCACATTAGCAAGTTTTTTAAAGCGCAAGTTTTCAAATATGATCACCAAAGAAAAAAAAAGTTTCATATGAAAAATTAGTTTACTAGTTATAATTGAACGAAAATTGAAAATTAATCGACGCAATAAACATTAAAATTTATATAACTTTTTTTTTTATAAGTTATGTGAATTTAATAATAATAATTATACTATACCTATATTTAAGTTATACCTAATGTTTTGGAGTGGACACGTGTTGATAAGTCATTGTGAAAAAAATAATTTAACAATATAATTAATACCAAAAAATGGGAAAGTGTTCAGTTCCTTTTTGTAAAGGAAAAGCTCCTTTTACTTTTCCAAAAAACGAAAAACGTCGGAATCTTTGGGAAAAAGCCATAAGTGTCAATTTTCAATCATCAAAATCATCAAGGTTATGTTCGATCCATTTCGAAAAAGATTTAATTATTGAAAAAAAAGAGAGTTTTTATACAGGTATGAAATTAATTTATTTAACGTAGATTTATATTGTAGTAATTTAATATCCGTATCAAGTAACTTTAATAGGTGGTTTTTTTTAGGAGTCACAACATCCAAGAAGTACTTAAAACCTAATGCTGTACCAACACTTATGTTGGAGCTTGAAGCAGAAAAATCAAGGCGTTCAGAAAAAATTCGGAAAGCTCTTTTCGAAGAAGATTCTAACAATTCATCATCATCATTGCCTTTGTCGCTTTTAGATGATCCAATAAATATCTCTGAAAATATTGCCAACAGTTTGATTGAATCACCGATAAAGAATTGTATATCATCAGTACCATCATCATCAAATGAAAATAATGAAATTACTGAGCTACAAAAAAAAATAGAGCTTCGAAGTTCACCAATAAATAAAGAAACATTGATAGATCATCAAATTGAAGAGCTATTTGCATCAACTAATATTCAAGATTGCTCAACAATCTCAAGCATGTCATACATATCCACTGATTACTATAATATCGATGTACAAATGGAAGAAGAGGTCTATTTATTGCCAATGTCAGAAAGTAGTAATTCAGATTACATGGAATCAAATCATGTGAAATCGTTGGAAGTAAAAAAACAAAAATCTTCTGCCGTGAGAAAAAAATGTTTTAGTTCAGTTGGAATCCAAGTTGGCCGTGGACCTTTATCTGTTCAATCAATTTCTCACCGAGATGATGTAATACATTACTATACTGGATTAGGAAATTATGCCAAATTTCAATTTGTGTATGGTACATTAAGTGATTATGTTGATCGCATTAAATATGTTAAAGGTCAAGTTAACTCTGTAGAACCTGAGGACATATTTTTGTTGATACTTATGAAGTTACGAAGAAATATTCCAGATTTTGGATTGAGTATCTATTTTGGAATTAGTGAAGCTGTTGTCCGCAATATTTTTAATACTTGGATCCATATGATTTACCAGCTTTGGTCATTGATAGATACTTGGCCATCCCGAGAAGTTGTCGACTTTTATATGCCAGAAGGATTTAAAAAGTTATATCCATCAACAAGAGTCATTGTTCATGCTACTGAAATACCCATTGATAAGCCATCAAATCCAATAGCTCAACAAGCTACATTTAGCACATGTAAGAACAAAAATACTGTGAAAGTATTAGTGGGAGGATCGCCTGATGGCATTTTATGCTATCATTCTGCAGCGTATGGAGGTAGTACAAGTGATAGACAAATAGTAGAAAGATCGGATCTCGTTAAAAAATGTCAAAAAGGTGATTCCGTAATGGCAGATCGTGGTTTTAATGTGCAAGATATTTTTGAATCACAGGGAGTAACTGTCAATATACCTCACTTTTTGAAAAGTAAACAACTTCCAAGTGTGACAGTATTATCCGATCGCAAATTAGCATCGAAACGGGTACACATTGAACGATTAATTGGGCTGACAAAAACTTATAAAATCTTACTAGAACCTTTGAATCCAAATTATACGCGTCTAGCTACGAAAATTTTTTCTATTTGTCTAATGTTATGCAACTTTCGTGAATCTGTTGTTAACTCGGCCGCATAAAATGATATCTCCAAGACAAAGGACACACTTGGAAAATTTTAATAAATAATGAACATACATTTATTTCGTGTACATTTTGTTTTGTAATTAAAATTTGTATATTTAAAACGATTCAGTTCTGCTATATAACTAATATAACAATAATTATACTTTTTATAAGAAAATATAAATATGATTATAAATACATTAACTTTTATATAAAACGTAAATTTTCATTACTTCTTTTTTACTTTTTAAAAATAGTACTGTAATTTTTATATAAATAACGATCTAAAATAGCAACACGAAAATAATCCTCAAAGAATTTTGTTAAACGTTGAACTATTAATGTTATGAAGTTGTCATCACGGCGAATAGTTATAACAATTGTTTCAATTGTTGTATATACTATAAACTTTGCAATGTATCTGCCTGTAACAAAAATCTGGCCTTGAATTTAGTAGTAGTACAGATGGTTTTTTTTTAATCGTAAATTGTTTCTTTCGTCAAGATACAGGTATGGCAAAGTTTTTTCCGTTATAGGAGAGAATCTACGGGAATAAAGACACTTAACTTCTACTACTGTGTCATTTCCTATGAGCCCATCTGGAGAAGCTCCTAAAAAAGGGTGAGTTGGACTTATAAATAGTCTGCATTTATCTATTTGAACACCAGTGGATTCGTAGATTTCCAGCGCTTTACTTTCATTTTCTTTACCCCAATCTGTAGACTTTGATTTAAACGGTTCTTGATTAATCAAGCTAATAGAAAATTGTATTTGGGCTTCTTCCTCTCGAATTATGCAGCATTTATAAAAATTACTGGCTGTGATTCTATTTTGACGATATTTAAACCAACTTTTACTTTGACTTTGCTCTCTTGTTCCTTCTTCAATTTCTTTTATATCATCAGTGGTTATTGACAGTAGTTTAAATTTATTTAACATCTGCTCTTCTGGATTCACATTTGTGTAGTCATGGTCCCAAATTGCACAATATATATTAGCTGGTTCGAACAGACGAAGGAATGGCATCGTTGTTCGGTTAGTTGTAGCAAAATTTATTGCTCGATTGCGTTGCTTTTCGCAGTACAATTGTTTGTTCACAATACTTGGATCTAAAACGACTGGATCCGAAAATGATTCAAGATTTTGATTTTTTTTTGGCAACAATTCAGCTTTGATGGGCGAGCCAAAAAAAGATTTTGCCGGCTTATGGAATGATTGAAGTTTTTGAGTACAAACTGTTCTCAAAGTAATTTTCTTATCTCTACCCTAAAAGTAACAACCAAAATTGTTAAGGTACAATTTTCTAGTCATGAAAACTAAATTATTGCTAAGATTTGTAATATCAATCCAATTACCATTTCTTCCATTGCCCAAAGAAGTACTGCGACGTGTTACGTATGGCACGAAGGTGATGGTGGTATGGACGGCAACATTTTTGCGTCTTGCCTTATTGATTTTTTAAAAACTGAAGTTCAACTTGATACGCCAATCGTTTTTTACAGCGTTGGTTGCAGTGCCCAGAACCGCAATGTTACGATAGCTAACGCTTTGTACCAATTTGCTGCAAAAAACAATGTTGACATTCTTCAAAAATATTTAGTCAAGGGTCACACTCAAATGGAATGTGATTCCGTTCATGCGGCTATTGAAAGGCGTAAAAAAGATCGCGAGCTGTATGCACCTTGTAACTTTGTGCAAATTATTTAAGAATCTAGACTCAAAAAACCATACAAAGTCAAATACCTTGATTACAAATTTTTCAAAAATTACTCAGATTTGAAATTTTTCAAATCGATTCGGCCTGGAAATAAAACTGGTTTACCAACTGTATTGCAACTGAGAGGATTGAAATATAGTAAAGACAAGTTGATGTTTAAATTATCTTTTGATGATGAAAAAAAGGATCTTCCGCAACGTTTGGATGAGAAGTATTCAGTAGAAACTGAAGTTAAAGACTTATACTCCAAAAAAATTCCATTAACTAATCAAAAATACAGGGACTTATAATCTCTCAAACCATTATGACCGAAGGATTATCATTCTTTTTATGAAAATTTAAAATACGTTAATGAGAAATAAAAATTATATTTTTTTTACGCCTTTAAATATTATCTATTGGCAATGATGAAAGATAATATTTTGTAATTTTATAATTCTATTAGAAAAGTCAATTAAAGTGATTAAAAGTATTATTAAAACTATGTGATACTAATACTAAAATACTAGAATTAAGACAAAAAGTGTATCTCAAGTCAAAAAAGTACTATATTTTAGTAATTTAAAACAAACATCATTAAAAAATTCAATAATAATATTTTTATTTGATAAAGAATGATTAAAAAAAGATGATCTGTTCTTAAAATAAAATAATTAAAAAAATTTTATTCATGTACTCTTATTTGAAAAAGATATTACGCAATCACGTATGTTACGTTTTTTTCTCTGCTACAAACACGTATCTCAGAAAATAAAAAAAAAAATAATGATTAAATTTTTTTAATACTATATTTAACTCAAAAATTTCTTAAAAGATTGAATATTTTTAAAATTAAAAAAAATTAGGAAAACGGTTGACCCTAAAGGCCATCCCTGAAACTTCCCGCTACCTCCATACCTAAGTGCTCAACAATTCACTCATTTTTTAAGCTCTTCGAGCTCAAGAATATAATTTTTGTGTAATTTTAAACTCTCCGAGCTCAAATGAATCGCTATTCTGTGCTTTTGAGCCCTTCGAGCTCAAAAGGCTAATGGAAGTTTTTTAGAACACTATTTTTTGAATTTTCAAACCGCAATAACTTTTGAATGAATAAACCAATTTTCTGACGGTTTACGGCATTCAACGCAGTTTCTTGGGTTCTTTGAAAAATCTTTAAGCGTAAACTAGTCAGACTAAAAATTTCATCGAAATTCTGAAAAAAACATTTTTTTCAATTTTTTTCGACAACGATATCTCACGAACAAATCAACCGATTTTGACCGGGCTGGTGGCAATCGACGTGGTTTTTTGAGGTTAAGAGCTGATTAAATTTTGGAATTGATCGGTTCAGCCGTTTAAAAGATATTTCAAAAAAACGAATTTTTGGAAATTTTATTTTTGAGATTTCTCAAAATTGATCGACTCAAATTCTGTAAATTATCATCAGAATTCTAGGGGCAAAGGAACTTTTCAGAACGCCGCCTATTTCAATCGAATCGGATGATCCGTTCAAAAGTTATGAGACATTTACACACACACACACACACACACACACACACACACACACACACACACACACACCACCACCACCACCACACACACACACACACACACACACACACACACACACACACACACACACACACACACACACACACACACACGA